TGAATTGAACCTCCCAGANGCATGTTGTGCAACAGCAGTGTCTAATTTCACTTGCGCCACTTCTACTGTTAATATGGTAAAGCCCTCCGGAGCGTCCAAGACCAGGCTGCATGTGATACAAATGAGCATAAGCTGTCAGTCTGGGTTGCTGCTGCTGCTACTTTTACTGTAGACACAGCAGGCAAACCTGTGGCAAGCCGGGTCCACAGAAAAGTGAAATGGTGCTCAAAGATGACCCGGCACATTTTGAGTATGTTTGACTCAACCTACTGCTATGAAGCAGGATTCTCCACCATGAACAGAATCAAAAATAAATATAGATCAAATTGAGCACCTTGATATGTGCTTTAGAATGACTAAGTCGCAGTCAAAACCCAGGTTTAAAGCCTTGCAGGCCAGCCTAAAGCCCACTGCTCTCATTAAGCCAGAAAAAAGAAAGAAAAATATAACAAACGGTCAGTTCACGTATTTAATAAAATATGTGAATCAGGAAATTATCTATATACCAAACTGTACAATTTTTGTTCATACCGGTACAACCACTCTCACGCTGCATCAACACTGCAGCCAATGTTGAAGGCTCAGTAGACAGGTCAGCTTGAGGCAGGGATACCAAGTTTTTGATGGGGAGAGAAAAAAATTACCAGATGATAAATGTGTTGGCAAAAAAAACCCAACAAAACTGTAAGATTGTGAGCTAATTATATATGCAAGTTATCTTTGTAAATCAGAACAATCTAATACCATTAGTGATTTTTTTTTGACTGCATCACATTTTTCTTCTTTCTTTTTAAAGAAGTTAAAGTATTACCGTATTTTTTTATCTAATAAGTCAAAGTATGACATGAATGCATACGCACCTCATTTCATTAAATCAGTAGTTATTTCAGTTTAAAGTAACAGATTATAATTAAAAATTTCTCTGGACCTTTACTGGTAGATGATTTTCTTTATTTGGACCCCGCTGATTTTTAATTGGGATAAATGGCTTTAAAATACAAAGAATAAATTGACATTGTCATATTGAATGCACTGGATTTTTTTATGAATCCACCAAACTTATATGTTCTGTTTCCAGTCTTTACCAATAGGTACTTTGAAAGTTAATGGCAAACTATAGAACGCTGTTCTCACTAGTGACAACCAACGTTTTTTGTTTTTTTTTTCTGAGAAGTTAGAGTGACATTATGTAAGTTTTTACTAAAAAATATATTTGAAATATCCTTTATTTGACCCTTTATAACTAAAACATCATCTGGTGAGCAGACTGACACCTTAGTATTTCAGCGCAGATGCATCTGTATCCTGTGACAGATTCAATTCAATTCAGTTTATTTCTATAGCGCCAATTCAAAACACAAGTCATCTCAAGGCACTTTACAGTTCAACCAGATCATACAGTCAGATTGATTCAAAGTTTTCTCTCTAAGGAAAACCAGTTGATTGCATTGACTCATTGACTCAAATACAATCCTTCACACTAAGCATGCTTGTAGTGACAGTGGAGAGGAAAAACTCCCTTTTAACAGGAAGAAACCTCCAGCAGAACCAGGCTCAGTGTGAGCGGCCATCTGCCG